TGGCCCCAAACTTTTTGGAGAGCCTTCCTAACTCCCCTTCCCCTCCACATACACCAACAGTGCCCAGAGCCCTGCTGTGCCTCAGTTCTCACGACACCTGAGGTGCCTCCTTTCTGGAAAGCAGAGTTGACTATCCCAGTTCACAGAGAAGACCAAAGCTCACAGCAGTGAAATTACCCCCATGTCACTCACTGCTAAGCAAGTGAGGACTTGAACTCAGATCTTTCTGATTCCAGAAATAAGGAGTTGTAAGGTTGTCCTTGACAGGCAAGAACAACATGGACCCCGGGTTCTTGCTCCTTGCATCCTCCAGAGAGGATGAAAAGTGTGTAACATGCAAAGTCCAGCCCGCCTGGTGGGTCTGGAACAGGCCACATTTTGAAAGGAAATCGCTGTTGGCAGCAGCCTCTGCGAGTCAGAGCAGGGGTGTGAGGGCAAAGCAGAAGCAGAGTCTGCAGAGACATTGCTGAGGTAACCCATGGAAAGAAACGTCTGTGCACAGCACACTGGTCTGACCGGAGGCCTGACTGACTTACTGAGTTCTGATGTACACCAGGCAGGGGCCATAGCAATGAGCAGTTGGCCTTTGCCCTTAATGGGAAGGGATGTCACAGAGAAATCACAGTTTGGTATGGGAAGAGAAGAGTCTGCCTGTGTCATGATGGCCAGGGACCCAGCATTCGTGCCGGCACAGAAGAGTTACTGGTGGAATGAATGAGTGAATGAAGGAAGGAAGGAAGGAAGGAAAGAAGGAAGGAGCGAGTAGCACATCAGTGTGGATCCCATCTACCGTGGACCCTCCGCAGTGAGAACTCCTCTGTTGAGTCCCAGTGCCATGAAGTGGTACCACCCTGTGTCACCTTAAGTGGAAATGGAATTTTGCATTCTGCTCTAGGTTTTAGGGCAAAATAGGGCTGGTGGTGGCTCAAGCGGTAAGAGCACCAGCCTAGCAAGTATGAAGTCCTAAGTTCAAATTCCAGTACTGCCAAAAAAAAAAGAACATTTAAGGACTGGGGTGTGGCTCAAGTGGGAGAGCACTTGCCTAGCAAGCACAAGGCCCTGAGTTCAATCCCCAGTAGCGCCAAAAAGAAAAAAGAAAGACAACCAAATTTGTACAGCTCTGGGCCGATACACTCTGGCCTGATGGGATCCTGGCCCAAGTTGGCGATTGCCCTCCTGGTCAGCCCAGACCACCTTCTTTCAGGTCAGGTCAGGTGGGTTCTCTGTGGGCCTCCTTCAGAGAACTGAAAGAGCTCTAGCTCTCAGCGTTTTCTGTAGCAAGGCACAGAGGTGTTATTAGTTTAAGCACCTATCATAGTGAAAGGCCTATGGGCTACAACAGATTCTGGTACTGTATCCTGTACAGCTGTGTCCTGGGCTCCTGGGACTCTGCTGTCCTCCGTGTCAGGCCTGGGGATAGAAATGACTGCCCACAGCTCCCAGCTGCCACACCCTTAGGTCTGAGTCCAAAGAGACAAGGTCAGTCCAGCCCGAGGCCTTGGGGCCACTCTGACTTAACTGATTTGAACTCTGGCCTGTCCTCACACCAGACGCTGCAACTGGGGCCTTGGTTGTTCTGACCAGCAGCCAGGCCTGGGTCAGATGCCAACCCTGACAACAGACCTCCCTGGAATGTACATTCAGATTCCCCAAAGTGGGGGTGGGGACCTTCCATGCTGCCGTCACAGACACTAGCTGGGACCTGAGTCTTAGATGGAGGCAGTAAGCCCACTTTGCCATATCTCTGTGAGGACAGCTGAACCAATGACAGTCATTGAATAGCTGGACAGGGACTGACTCTGTCCCAGGAAGACCGTTCCCATTCCTGAGGCTTCCCAGTTGGAAGGGACAATCCAGGACTGCACTGAAGGCACTGGCTCCCGGCCTTGTGTTGTGCCTCATGGTGGGGTCTTTCCACTCCACGAGTGGAGACGGTATCAGTCGTTTCCAACCCCATGGCCTTGTGGTCCCTACCTGGAGTGACCCGCTTCTGGACAGGGAGTTGTTCCTGTTGCCACATCATGGTATCACTAAATTTGCTAGGAACCTGCTTGCTGTTCATGACAGCTCCTGTACCAACCTCTAATTCCTATACCCCAGTGGTCTCCAATTCGATTTCATTTCCCTGGAACACTTCAATTGCTGAGAAAATGACACTGGCCAGAGGTGGGATAGAGGGAGGGGACAGAAGAGAAGGGAATGATGGTATTGGATTGGACACTGCTCCTGTAAAAGACGTCCCTCCTGACACCCCCTCCAGGTACTACCCCCCATCCCCTGTGGGCTGCAGACCTTGGGGATCTTCTTGGACAGCCTGGGAACCTATGAACTCAGCCTCTCCTGGGAGGCCCTGGACCCTCATGCAGATGGACCACAGCAGGTCTGCCAGACATGCCACACTGCACAGCACACAACCAGATCTCACTCCAGGACCCTTACTTCCCCACCCTTCCTCTTCCTCCAGGAACACACACTGCACAGGACCAGGCCACAATTCACTACACGCATCTCCCAAAGAAACTGTAAAGCATGCAGTTGGCAAAACGATTTATTGTTTAAAAAATAGATGTTACATTGATATACAAAAAGGCATTTCAAAAACTGTTTTACAAGGTGTAAAAAGGCCTCCATTCTGAATGGATCTCATCACCTTAGGCATCTTTAAGTCTCCATAAAACCAGGGGGCAGCTCTCTCTCTGAAGAAAGCCTGGCACGTTTGCCTCTCCAAGCTCACGTACTGGGGACTTGGCTGCCAGTGGAGGGGCTTTGGGGAAGTGACTGGATCCTGGGGACTCTGACCTAACTGATGGATCAATCCCTGGATGGAATCATAATATGACGGCATTATTGGAGAGTAATAAAAAGTAGGTGGTGGGAGCCAGGTGGGGTGATTCACACCTCAGGAGGCAGAAGTCAGGAGGATCATGGTTCAAGGCCATCCTGGGCAAAAAGTTAGTAAGATCCCCCTCCCATCTCAACCAATAAAAAGTTGGGGGATGGTGGTGTGCACCTGTCACCTGTCATCCCAGCTGTGCGTGAAGTGTAGTCCATGCCCACCTGGGCATAAATACAAGTCCCTATTTGAAAAATAACAAAGAAAAAAAGGGGGGCTGGGGTATGGCACAAGTAGTAGAGCACCTGCCTAGCAAGCACAAGGCCCTGAGTTTAAAAAAAAAAGAAAAAAAAGTAGAAAGCAGGGCGTAGAGAAAGTCAGGGGGCATACTTTGTCCCTCATCCCTTGCCTTCCTGTTTTGCTCTCTCTGCTTCCTTACTGCCTCTTGGAAATACCCTGGAACAAAGCCACCAGCACCTCTTCAAGTGTCACCAGCTCAGGCTGAAGGCTTGGGGTCTGTGGCTCTGAGCAGAAATGCTGCAGGGGACTAGTGTGTGTGTCGGGGGAAGGGTGACATTCCCAGTTCAACCAAGGGATGGCCAGAGGTCAACCGTCCCTTGTGAACCAGCAGCCTGTGACATTTAGAGGCAGCAGTCCATTCTGGGCAGGTACTGACCACATAGGCTGGTCATTGTGGCCACTGTGCTCTTATTTCACTATCAGCCTTTCCTGTGACTTGATCCTTCCCTGACATTGAGATGCTGCCAGGGGACTTTTCTTCCAATGGACGCAGGCCTGCGGAAGCCCCATCTGTTTCAAGTAAAAGTACAGCTGGGTAACCTGCTGCAGGGCCTCTTGTGTGAGGCTGCACACATTCTGTAGGAAAAATAAAAGATGTTGTTCCTAAAAACTAAATTGTAGGAAATGGCCCCATCAGGTTTTCTGGAGGTTTCTCACTTCCTTTCTCTGTCACACCATCCCCAGCTCTCTGTGAAAACAGGGCAAGAGGGAAGCAAGATAAGCAAAGGGACAGACCACCAAGCCCTGTCCATTTTGGATTGGCCTCAGAGGGACTATTCTGAAATGTCAGTCCAAACAGTAGGAAACTTTGATTACACTGCTAATTTCGGAGGGAGTGCACCCAAAAGTGACAATAAGGCATTCTCTGTAGAGTAACAAGAAGTGGAGAAAATTGTAAAGATGCAACCGTTTAACTGGCAGTTAGCAGAAACATTTACCCCAGTTGGAAATGAGAAGGGTAGTTCTGAGGCGAGTCATCCCTCTGGGTAAGAACAGGACATTCTAGGCTCAGCCCTGACAGTGACTCACTATTATTCAGAATGGTGACATAAAGCCTGCTCACCCTTTCTCCTGGACGGATACTGGGGTGTGTGGAGCCCCCCCACCTCTGGTGTTGCAACCACAGAGGGATGAGTCCCCAAAGAGTGCTGGGCCAAGCACGCAGGGCAACACAAGGAAATGAGAAATACCACAGCAGAAGAACCTTGCCACCAGGACGGACCTCAGGGGTGCTGCGTGGGAGCCTCCATGTGGCGAGAAGTGGAACTCTGATTGCACCACCTGTTTCTGCTTCTAAGCGCTGTCCACAAGGAAGAGAAAAGACTCCCAGACTCCCCGTGGGAGCTACGGCTGTGTTCTGAAAAGGGCAGATCTCTTAGTATAGAGATGTTCTGTCAGACTGGGTCGCTGGAGGCCAGAGGGAACAGAATTTAGACAAGAGAGCCTTTCATACGAGGGCCCCGTCACAGGCTACATTCCACATGTACACATCACCTGTGAAAGCGCGAATTCTTTCCCATCTGTAGACTGGAAGAAAGTGTAAACAATCCAACGTAGAAAACCGGCTTTCCTGATGCTCTGCACCAAATGAAAGCCCTCTCTCTGGGAAGATCCCAAAAGACATAGAGACTTTGTACTGCGCAATACAGAGTGTGACTGTTAAGTCAGAGGACAGTCACACAAAGAGGTCTGTCTTAACCCTTCCAAGTCCTTCCTTGGTGGCATGGCTATGCCCCCAAGTTGAAATGAAAATTACATGTGTCTTGGGAAATTTACTTTTTTCCCCTCAAACTGAGGTTTAAACTCTGGGCCTCAGGCTTGCTAGACGCTCTACCACTTGAGCCATATCCCAGCCATTTCAGCCATTTTTTGTTTTAGTTATTTTTCGGATAGGATCTTATGTTTTTGCCCAGGGCTGGCCTCAGCCCTTCTTACTTATGTTTCCCTTATAGCTAAGATCACAGGCTTGAGCCACCATGACTGGCTTGTTTGCTGATATGGGCTCCTGCTAACTTTTGTGCGGTGACCTGGAATGGTGATATTCCTGATCTCCACCTTCCCAGTAGCTGGGGTTTCAGGCACGAACCACCATACTCAGCCAAGGAATTTTACTTTTTGTTGTTGGCCTTCTTAAAAAGAATTTCAGAGCCTCCTCTTGGAGGTTTCCTAAAACAGATGTTACTGTCCTGCAGATCCTCAAGACAGAAGACCTTCCCTATGCTACCCAAGGGATTGCCTACTCACTTCCCCAAAATCTTAGGCAGGCCATTGGTGGTGAGCTGGGAGGGGCAGGAGAGAAGTTGCCAGGCTTGAGAGGTGGTGTGAGGAAGGCAGGCTGCAGCCTGTGGGGGTCAGCCACACGAGCCCTGGAAAGGCTGTGAGCATCACTTGCTCAAACAGGCAGGCCTGATGGCTTGTCACTTGATGCTACATCCTCCTCCATCAGAGAATGATTTATGGTAAAACATGAGGAAATGAAGTGAAAACACCCACTGAAGGGTCCCGTGTGTAAGTGACCCTCTCAAACTAGGGACCCCTGCAATGGGGTCCCCTGGCCCTTGTATATCATTGCGCTTCATGGAAGGAGACCTGCTCCAGAGAGGAGCAGGAAGAGGGTGGGGTCCACCCTGAGGAAGGTGGGGACGATTCCCAAGCAGAGCAGTTCTCAAGGAGGAAGGGAATCCCAAATAGCCTAGGTGTCGGAGGACCTTTTGACATATCTGTTACTGTTACAGCAGAGCATCAGTGAAGGGACTGAAAACCCAAAGGGCAGAGGACCCTGGACAATGGAAGCTACCTGGAAGGCCTGGGCAGCCAGCTGATGGCACAGAGGCTAAAGTAAGGCACACTGAAGGAGGCTTAGTCTGGGGATGGTCTCCAGCCTCCTTGCTTGGCACAGGGCTCTGCACCCCATGAGAACCCCAGGCCCCTCTTCTCCACAGGAGGTAGTTTGAGGATTGCCTCCCCTGATCAACCCTGGCCCACCTCGTCTTATTTTCTAACTGCTGGGGTCTTTTTCTCTCCTGTCCTGCAGTAAGAGCATCTCAAGAGCAGAGATCCCACCCCACTGTGCCTTGTTTCTACCCATCACAACCACACAGGAAGGATTGTCCAAGGGGCTGGGACAAGTCCTGATCCTATCCTCTCTGGGGTCTGACTCTGGGCACTGAGGTCCAGACATCAGGAGCACACTGGGCAGATTGGTTGTGGGAGGAGGAGGGATACAAGGAAGGGAAAGAAGACAGCATGTGAAAGAAAGGCCGAGAGTGAACAAGGGCAAGGGTGCCCCATCATCCCAGAAAGGCCTCGTAGTCCATGTACCAAACCAGCTGGCCAGAACGAGGTAGCACACCTGAGATGGGCCACTTCTTTGGCTCATGACCCACGCGGCTCACCAGCATGGTAATCTCACGCTTTGTCCTGCCCATGACCAGGACGGCCACCTTCTTGGCACGGTTGATAAGGGGCAGGCTGAGGCTCATGCGGTGGTGTGGCCTGAAGGGGCTCTCGGTCAGCACCACCAGCTGCTCGCCGTCCAGGCCAGTGGGCGACTGTGGGAAGAGAGAGGCAGTGTGCCCATCTGTGCCCATACCCAACAGCACCAGGTCAAAGCTGCTATTGGCCACCAGGGCTGAGATCTCGTTGGCGTAGGTCTGGGCACCGTGGTCTTCCTCGGCACAGAGCCTCTGATGCAGGTGCACAGGCATGGGGTGGATATTGTAGTAAGGGACCCTGATGTGCTGTAGCAGGTGAGCCTGCAGGCCCTGGAAATTGGACTCTGGGTCTGAGAGAGGGACGCAGCGCTCGTCGACCAGCCACAGGTGTGTGTGGGCCCAGGGGAAGGCATAGTGCCCTGTGGCCAGCTGCTGGAACAGGGCAATGGGGCTGGAGCCACCCGAGAGTGCCAGGTGGAATCTGCCAAAGAGCCGCACTGTCTGCACTGCAGTGGCCTCAATGTCACTGGCCAGCTTAGAGATTAGCTCTTCAGGCCAGGCCGAGATCAGTGGGCTCTCGCGGTACCGGGCCCTGAGGACCTGGAAGTCACTGGGCCTCGGGACAGACTCTGGCCCTGGCACCAGCTGCTCAGGCTGCTCCTGGGAAAAGGACAAGTGGCCACCATTGAACTCAAAGTCCAACAGATGACCATTCTCTGTTCCCCCTGGGTAGAGGCGTGGAACTTCATGGGCCACACTGTCCAGCAAGGGGGTCCAGAAGACCCAGGAGGCCAACAAGTTCTCTGTGGTAATGAAGGACTCCTTTTGGCAGTGGAGGATACGGGGTAAGAGGATGGAGTAAGCATCCCGCTCCCTCACGGGGCTGTAGGCGTAGAAATCAGACAGAGGGCGGCCAAAAAGGCGGAGCCCAGGCTGGTCTTCAACTTCCTTCCAGCCCTGGGCAGGCAGAGAGGGCCTGAACAGGTTCCGGCTGACCAGGATGGCAGGGTGGTCCAGCTCACCGTGTCCAATGTAAAAGATGATCTGCCGGGGCAGACATCGGCTCTGCTCTGAGGCCCAGTGGCTCTCACTCTGGACACAATATGCCTGGTTCTTGAACAAGATCCGAACGTAGCCCACTCTCTCATCCAAGGCCTTGCCAGACATCAGGATGAAAGGAACGCCCTCCCAGCGCAGGTTGTCCATGTGAACTAGGACGCCTGAGGTGAGAAAGAGCAGAGGGTGAAGCCACAGCCCAAGAGTCAGCCATCCAGTCCACCTTTGCAAAGTCCCCCGCCCCCTTACTGTACCTTCAGGCCAGCCTGTTAACTGTCCTCCCAGATAGTGCTCAAAGCCAGCCTCTGGGGCCAGCTCCATGACTGTGACAAGACCGCCCAGAGGCCTCTCTGGGAGCTCTGGTACAATAGTCTGGGAGCTCGCAACCCAGAGACTAGAGGAGGCCCACCGTGGGGCACGAGGGGTGGGGCTGGGGGGTCATAAAAAGGGGGTCCTCAGGGACCTTAGTTTTCAGAGCACTCAGGATGCACCTAAAGCAGGGGCAAATGCAGATCAGGGACCAGGGCAGGAGAAAGGGACTGAGAGGTGTGCATGCACATGTGTGTGAGTGCATCATATGCAGGTGTGCTGAGAGCCCACGACCGACCTACTCCACACCCAAGTTCCACGTCTGTGACTTTCCCTAGCTTCCTTCTGCCTCATTTCCTTGTGGGTCTGTGCGCAAGGACGGAACGAGACGACATATGGAGTGTCCGGCACGTTGAATGGACAGCAAAAGCAGCTGCCGCTGTTGTGGTGGTGGTCACTACCTTCCAGGAGCCAGCCCTCTCCCAGAAAGCGCTGAGCCTTCAGAACTAACTGTCCAGGGGATGGCTCTGGCGGACGTGTGCTGACCAGCGTGCTGCTTGCCCACAGCTGTGGCTGGAGAGAAGTTTGTACTTCATGGGTGTCCAGATGTGCACCCCACATGTTTGAGCCTGTGGGCAAGCCCTCAGTAAAGGGGATACTGTTTCTTGCACTCCCTCCCTTGCTGCAGCGAGGTTCTCTCTCTCGGTCCTTGGTTCTTACTGGACCTAACTGGGCTTAACTGGGGGCGAATGGAGATTTTAGAAAAGACACAGGATATATAGACAGACAGAAAGCTGGGGTAAGGTGTGTTGTATGCTCGGCTGGAGACGCACAACCCGCATTGCTTCTTTTTCTATCTTGATTTTTTTAAGGCCTTACTCCTTGCAGTTCTTTAAAACCTTGCTTCAAACCTCTTTCCCATGTTTGCTCTTAACTTATCTTTAGCTTAATCGCTCTTAAAGTCTTTTGCCCCCAGGCTTGCACTGTCCCATCTCTTTAGCTCTCTCAAAGCCTGGGTGCTCAAACTTGCAAACAGCCGCCCTGCAACCTGCATATGCCTAACTCTTAAAGTTTCAGTCTAAGACTCATACTGTGCACTGTCCCAGGTTCTCTTTGGCTTTTCTTTAGCTTTAGCTTTCCTAAGGCCTATGCATGCAGTTCTTTCTCAGCTTTGCTTTCTGAAGCCTCTGTTAAAGTGCAGACTTTCTACCAACCCCTCTTTAGCATTTTCCCTTCAGCAATTTTTCCCTTTAGCATTTTCCCTTCAGCAATTTTTCCCTTTAGCATTTTCCCTTCAACGATTCTTTTCCCTTCAGCAATTTTTCCCTTCAATAACTCTTTTCCCTTCCAAAGGCTTCCCACACCAAAAAGCCCAAAATAAAGCCCCCAAAAGCCCTCCTTCAGCGGGCCTTTTATAAACAGCAGCAAACAGGGTGGAGTAGAGGCTCTTGGGGAGGGGTGTAACATTGCAACAGGAGAAACCTGCGTTCCTACTTCTCTGAACACAACTTAGGAGACGCAGCTGTTCTGCCTTTTCCTGTGTCGTGCCGGGGCTGTGCCTATCTCAGCCTACAGGTAAAAGCAATTAACTGCATCTCGTCTTGCTTGTGTCCAGTTTTCTTAGGCTTTAATCCGCTCCCCACACTCGGGAAGCTTCTCTGGGTTTGGCCTAAACGGTGGCTGACATGACATCAAGACACCCTTAGCACAGAAAGTGCTAGCAAGTGACCCACTGTTTTAAGCTGGCAGAAGGCCAGAGGGGCAGCAGGTTGTCATGCTTGCCTCACCCTGTGAAAATCTCCCCGAGTCACTGTCATCCCAAACCAAAGGGTACTGGGTTTGGAAAAGTGCTTCCAGCTAGTGGTGGCTTCGCAGCCGGCTCTGGAGCTCACCTGCAAAGGTCGGCGTCAGGCTGAGGAAGCCCTCCGGCTTCTGCAGCTCTTGACGCACCTGCCCACTGTAGGCCCGGTACTGGCCCAGAACAGCATTGCCCTTCTGCAGGCCCTGTATGACCCGGAGGGCCTGCAGCTTGTGCTCCAGCACAGCCGCTGAGCTGCTGGTGTTGTGCGGCAGCTCCATGGCAACAAGCGTGAGGATCTCCGTCAGGTGGTTCTGCAGAACGTCCCGGATGACACCGTACTCCTCGTAGAAGCTGGTGCGGCCTGCGCGGGGAGAGGGCCATCAGGAGGTTCCCCGCATTACGGCAAGATTCCCACCCATGTACTTGTCCTGGCATCCTCCTCTCTCAGTTCAAAGCGCAAACAACAAGGTGTGCCAGAGTAAACGGAAACCCAAGGGCAGAAGGATGTCTTGAAGCAACCTCCCTTTGCCAAGAACTCTCCTCGGGGAAGGCGGCAGGTCATCTGTCTGGGAAGAAGATGTGTGGCAAAGCTCTAGTCCCAGCAACAGCCAGACAGAATTTTCACATGTGTGGCTTCCCTCCTGCCCCAGCTGCCCCAGGTCAGCAGGAAGTCTAACATGTTCAGCCTGAGACGAGGCTGTGACACCACAGTGAGAACAGGGGCATTGGGTCTGATGGTTTTGTCCTGGAGGATGGTCCTAGGTAAGTTCCTTAACTTTTGTTTCTGATCCTGCCATTAAATGCTGTGATCCAGTGCACACATGAGCCAGGTGACATGCAAGGAGGTGAGAAAGTGAGGAGAAAAAGGAAGTAAAATTGTAGACAGACTGTGACAGAGGGTCACGGGAGGGACTTCTGACACTGGAATAGCCCAGGAGAGAGCATCCATGTGAAGGGGTCTTCAAGTGCACAGCCCTGGGGCAGGAAAGAGCTAGATCTGCTGAGGTTGGAGGAAGGTGAGCAAGAGGGAGATGAGGCTGGGGTGGGGGGTGGAGGGTGGAGCTCAGGATCCTGAGGGGGCTGCACTTGGTTCTGTGCTCTAGGGGAAGCCATTGGAGGGCCTGAAGCAGACCAGACTGGGCCCATATTTTGGAGGGAGCCCTGGCCTGCTTGGGGGAGAAATTGCAGACAGAGGGAAACTAGAGCTGGACGGAAGATTCCTTTCGGGGTTGGACTGGACTGGACTTGCTGACAGATGGGAAAGGTTGGAGCAAAAAAGGAGAAGCCAAAGACAGGTCCTTGAACTGAGGCCTAAATAGGACAGGTAGTGGCGGCATTTACAGAGATGGAAAGACAGGTTTGTGAGGCACAAGCCGTGAAGGGAGGGAAAGCCATGTGTCCTGCTTAGGACATGGGAAGACAGTGGCTGAGCATCCCTGGGCCTATGGCGTTCTGGTCTTCAAATCCTTACGATATTGTGGAGATGGCATTAAGGAAAAGACGGTAACAATGAATGGATAGCAGGCCATACACTCCCACTCCCCATAGTTACGATGAATAAGGACATCCCACTACCACCCCCATTTTGAAATATAAAGAAACCCAGGTTCAAAGAGGTCAGATAACATGTCCAAGGTCACACAGCTAGTAAACAGGCAAAAATAATATTTGAACCCAGGCAGTTGGCTCCAAAGCCTGCAACTTTTTTCTTTTTTGATGGGTCTGGGGTTTGAACTCAGGACCTTAGGCTTGCTAGGCAGGCACTCTACCACTTGAGCCACTTCCAAGTCCACTTTGCTCTGGTTATTTTTGGAGATGGGGGGAGGGTATCACTAACTATTTGCCCAGAGCTGGCTTCAAACCTCGATCCTCCTAATCTCAGCCTCCCAAGTAGCTAGGTTTACAGGGGTGAGCCACCGGCACCTGGCCCAGAGCCTGCAATTCTTACCACATAACACTTCCTTTTAACTTCCTGTTCTTCGACTGTACAACAGAACATTCAACTTGGTGTGAAGCAGAATGGCATGAACTCCACTGGCTTCAGAAACAGAGCATAGGGCAGCAGAAGACACAGGCTGAGCTGCGCTCTGGAAGGAAGTCCTAGGTCAAAGGTCAGGGGCCCCACTACTGCCCTTGGTCAGTACCTGAGGTATATGAGGGATGGGACTGTGTCTCTGGTGGGGGAGGGGAGGGCGGAGGAGGTTTATACTTGCCTCAGCTGCCACCAGAGGGCACCCCACACAAGTGTAGGCCCAGATGACCACATCTTCCAACTGTTTGGGAAAATGCAAAATTGTGGAACAAGTACAATCTTTCATTTTTAAATGGGCACATGCAATTCAGATCTTTCAGAGAATTGTGTGTGCGTGTGTGTGTGTGTGTGCACGTGCACACACACGTGTATCAGAGACCTCTGTAGGTAGCATGGACAACGTGGTAGGTCTGGCTGGCAGAGCACCTGTTATAATTTACAAGAGCAGAAACGAACAGATGCAACAGGACTTAGAAACTAGACTAAGAAGAACGAAGAGCTATAGAGGGTTCTTGACTCCCAACAGTTAAACCCAGTTATGGTCCAGAAATTCCACTCCTAGGTTTATCTCAAGAGAAGTAAAAATGTTCATCCCCATAAAAACTTGTACACAGATGTCCACTATAGCACTACTCAAATAGCCCAAAGCACACAACCCAAATGGCCACCAACTGGTGACTTGATGAACAAAATACAGCACAGGTTGAGCAACCCTACTTTGAAAATCTTCAGTGTTCCAAAATCTGAAACTTTGCGAGCACCAACCCATGCCACAAATGGAAAAAGCCACACCACCTGACAGGTCATATTCAAAATGCGTTAAAAATACTGTATAAGAGCCAAGATCAGCCCATGCCTGTGATCCTAGCCACTTGGAAGGTGGAGGCATGATGTCCTAACAGCTATATGGGATGCATAAATAGAAGGATCACACTCCAGTGGCCCAGGTATAAATGCAAGGCCCTATTTGAAAAACACATAAAGCAAGAAGAGCTGGGGGTGTGGCTCAAGTAGTAGAGCACCTGCCTGGCAAACACAAGGCCCTGAGTTCAACCCCCAGTATCACCAAAAAATAAAATTAACTATGTAAGGGCCGTGGATAGGGCTCAAGTGGTAGAGTACAGGAGGCCCTGAATTCAAACCCCACTACCACCAAAAAATAAAAATAAAATTACCTTCAGATTCTGTGAATGTAGCTCACAGGTAAAGCATTTGCCAAGCATGCATGAGGCTCTGGGTTCAAACCCCAGCATCACAAAAAAAATGATCTTCAGGCTATTTATATAAAGTGTTTATTAAACATAAGAGAATTTCATGTTTAGACCTGGGTTCCATCCCCAAGATACCTCATTGTATATATGCAAATATTCAAAAATCTGAGAAAAGCAGGGATCAAAAACATTTCTGGTCCTAAGTATTTTGGACAAGAGACACTCAATCTGTATATCCATACAATAAAATAGTACTCCACGATAAAAAGAAATGAAGCCCTGCTACACGCTACACTGGAAAGAACTTTGAAAATGTGATACTAAGTGATTAAGGCAAACACAAAGGCCACATATGATGTGACTCATTTATGTGAACCATCAAGAATATGCAAATCCAGAGAGAGAGCATGCAGATTAGTGGTTGCCAGGGGCTGGGGAACTGATGGCTAAGAGTGTAGGGCTTCTTTTGGGAGTGATGAAAACATTGTAAAATTGATCACGGTGATGGATGCACAGCTCTGTGAATTTGCTAAAACCCACTAGATTGTAAACTTTCAGTGGGCAAACTATATGGTATGTGAATTATGCCTCAATGAAAGTTTTAAAAGCTTTCAGAGTGGGGCGGAGGAACTGTGGAAGAGGTAGTTTGGGAAAACGGAGCATCTGTGATCCATCTGACAGAGATGGATCTGGTGGTAAGGAAACAGCAAGGCAGCACGAGCTATATCTGAAGTAACAGGCCAGAGCAATGGAGTAACAGTGAAATACAGACACAGCACTCAGTGGTGAATAAAAACTAAGTGGTAAGTAGGGGATCCATAATTGGTGATCCAGACTCACAATCAGAGTGTGGTCCCTAGGGCCAGGGTGTAAATACCAGCCCTGCCACCTTTGGCCTTGTGACCTCAGGCAAGTGACACTGCTACAGCATAAAAAAGGAATAATCACAGAACCCACCCAGCAGAGGACTGTTCTGAGAATTAAAGAGTTAATATGTATCCAGGGCTGGGAACGGTGCCTGGCACACAGGCAACCTTGATAAATACTGGTTATTTTATTATTATAGGGGCTGTAAGTAAGAATTACCAGCCAGGCAACTCAGAGAACATGGTGACCATATGGCGATTAAAAAAAAATTAGAATGATGGTTTCAATTCTAAATCTGCTGACTCAGAGGAGGTGACATGACATCCAGAGGAAGTCCCTAAAAGGTCACTGAAGGTACAATACAAGGGCTGAAGAGACAATGAAGGCTGGCGATGGACTGGATTTCGTCAAAGCTGAAATGCCATGGATGGTAGAAGCATTTTTTGTCTACAACTGCCGGGAGAGAAATGGACACCAATTCAACTTACGCCACCCGCTTGACCGTAAACCCAACTTCAGCAGTGTGCAAACATGAAAAACCGTATTTTTGGAAGAATCAGTGAATTTTGGCAGATTTAAGAATAAAGAGGCCAGTCAGTAAGGCTTTAAGAACAAATTCCTGACGGCGAGAAAGAAGTGGAGTCCTCAAAAGCCCTGTTATCTGCTTACTATTCATTAATTTAGCAAATCCCAAGAGACCCTGCTCCTATTTTTATCCTCGCAATTCTTGATTCTCAGAGAGAATGCATGCCACGGGGTTACTACCCGCTGGGTAGAGGAGAGCTTCCTTTATTCCTTCATTTCAAGCTCCAGGGGGTGCGCCTGCATCTAGCACAGCCTGTGGATTTATGGACTCTGCTTTCATCCTGGTCAGCTATGCCTTTGCAGAGTTCAAGTGCAGGGACCAGGACCAGGACCAGGACCAGGACCTGGCACATCAGGGGGAAGAGGCCACATATGCAGCTCAGCAAGGTTAGAGAGTGAGGCACTGGTGATGCACACGTGCTGATTTATTCTAGGAACTGCCAGTTTTTGTGGACTGATTTTTCCTAAAAAAAAATTATCTATATTGGCTCCAAGTATCCTTTCCTAGGTTAAAAGCTGAGGCTAAAACCTGCCAGAATTTGAGAAGAATAGAAAAGGCACTACTAGAAGAAGACCCCGTGCACTTGGCTCCTGTCTGTGCAAGGCCAGAGTGCATTTGAGGTCTCAGGATGATAAAGCTGGGAGCCAATGGCTTGGCCCTGGGTC